GGGATCGCAACCCTCAGTGTTGCGCCCGTACCGGACCGGGACCGGCAACGGGATCGCAAGCCTCGGTGTTGCTCCCGCGCCTCGCTCAGCCAGTGAGCGGGAGCCAGTCTGTACGTGGGATCCGAACCCTCGGACGGGAGCGCTGCCGCGCTTCCCAAGCGGCGCACTATCCAGTGCGCCACCGGGCCGGCCCTATAAAGGTAATTCTTAAAGGAATAAATGTAAATAGCAATAAATTTATGAAATGTTTACCTTTCAGTGATCAAATTAATGGAAATTAAAACAATAAAATGAGGGCCGGCCCGGTGGTGCACTGCTACAGTGCACCGCTTGGGAGCGCGGTGGCGCTCCTGCCGAGGGTTCGGATCCCACATACAGACCGGTTCCCGCTCACTGGCTGAGTGAGGTGCGGGCGCAACACCGAGGGTTGCGATCCCGTTGCCGGTCCCGGTCCGGTACGGGCGCAACACTGAGGGTTGCGATCCGTTGCCGGACATGAAAACAGACAAAAAGGAAAAAAAAAAAACAATAAAATGAGATGGTATTTTTCTACACAAAATGGCAGCAAGTTTCAAAACTTATGATTCACTCATATACTACTGGTAATAGCATAAGATTTATCCATTCTTTGTGAAAGATACTTTACTAATTTTTTTTTTAAGTTTTCAAAGTATTCATGTCCTTTGAGCTAACAGTCCTACCTCAAGGAATCTATTGTGAGAAAAATTTCAACTATACATGGAAAGATACAGTTAAAAGGCTGCTCCTTCAAGCAGTATTTTAAAAATAGAAGGAAAAAACAGTTTCTGTGAATAAATGGTTGATTAAATTATGAAATAGTTGCTCCCCACTTGGGCCCAAAGGGAAGCGACCAACCACAGCTGCACCAGGCCCCTGCTGAGGTGAGCCTGGACCCACATGGTGCCGGTAGCCCCTCCCGTCTTAGACCCAGAGGGAAGCAACCGACCACAGCTGCACCAGGCCCCCACCGAGGTGAGCCCAGATCTGTGTGGTGTGGCCACAGGTTCTAGAACAGGACCCAACATAGTGTAATATAGCCATTACCACACCTACTGTCACACAAGGACAATTCACCACCACAGTAGCAGACAGGGCCACTCTACAGGTAACCTACTGCTCACTCGACTACACTGATTTAAGAAGAGTAACCAGTAGCCTGCAAATAGAGGAAGAAGGTTTTATTCTCATAGCCAACCTCAGAGTAATAGAAGAAGCAAATCCTCTACCAGATGACCAAACATCAATGAAAAAATACTAGAACTATGAACAAATAAGAAGATATGACACCACCGAAGGAATACAGCAATGCCCAAATTTCAAACTCCATGGAATATGGAATTCTTGAAATGTCCGAAAAAGAATTCTGAGCAATGATCTTAAGAAAACTCAAGGAGATAAAAAGAAGACTCAGAGAACATAATGAAACAAGAAAAAGTATCCAGAATATGAAGGGGAAAGTTTACAAAGAGATTAATATCTTTAAAAAAGAGTGTAGTAGAACTCCTAGAAATGAAAGATTCACTCAGTGAAATAAAAAACACAACAGAGAGCTTGAGCAGCAGGGAAGAGCAAGCAGAAGAAAGAATTTCAGATCTCGAAGATGGTCTTTTCAAAATAACCCAGGCAGACAAAAAAAAGGAAAAAAAAATTAAAAATAATGAGGAAAAAATCTAAGAGAGATAGCAGACAACCTCAAGTGCTCTAACATCCAAACTGTGAGTATTCCAGAAGGGGAGGAGAAAGGAAAAGGTATTGAAAACCTACTCAAGGAAATAGTAACAGAAAACTCCCCAGGTGTAGGGAGAGATACAGACCTTCAGATCCAGGATGCACAAAGGTCCCCAAACAGATTCAATCCAAAAGGTTCCTCCCAAAGACATGTTATAGTTAAATTTGCAAAGCTCAAAGACAAAGAATTCTAAAAACAGCAAGAGAAAAGTGTCAAGTCACCTATAGAGGAACCCCCATCAGACTAACAGCAGACTTCTCATCTGAAACCCTACAGGCCAGAAGAAAGTGGAATGAGATATTCAAAATACTAAAAGAAAAAAATTGCCAGCCAAGAATTCTTTACCCAGCAAGGCTGTCCTTCAGAAATGAGGGAGAAATAGTGTATTTCCCAGACAAACAAAAGTTGTGGAACTTCACCACCACACGACCAGCCCTGCAAGAAATTCTCAAGGGAGTCTTTCTTCTGCAATCTGAGTAATGATGACCACTATCACAAATACACAAGAAAAAGCAAAACCCACTGTTAAAACAAAATGCCAGTGAGAAAGAGAGAGAAGCTAAATCTTGCCACATTAAATTTCCAACTGCCATTGAAGAGAAATAGAAGGGGAAGTAATGATCAAAAGATATTTAAATAATCTAAACAAAAAGTAATTAAGTGATAGGAATTAAACAATACCTGTCAATAACTACCCAAAATGTGAATGGATTAAACTCCCCATCTAAAAGACACAGACTGACTGACTGGATTAAAAAGTTAGACCCAAGTTATGCTGTCTTCAGGAAACCCACCTCACCTATAGACACACACAGACTAAAAATGAATGGGTGGAAAAAGATATACCATGCAAATGGAAGCCAAAAATTAGCAGGAGTACCTATTCTTATATTGGACAAAATAGACTTTAAACCAAAAAACATAAGAAGAGACAAGGCCACTATATAATGATAAAAGGATCTATCCAGATAGAAAACATAACAGTCATAAATATATATGCACCCAGTACTTGAGCACCCAGATATATAAAGCAAACACTCTTAGATCTAAAGAAAGAAATAGGCCCTAATACATTAACAGTGGGTGATTTGAACACCCCTCTCTGGGTATTGGACAGATCTTCCAGGAAACAAATCAACAAAGAGACACAGGATTTAATCTACACCTTAGAGCAGTTGGACCTGGCAGATATATACAGAACATTTCACCCAGCAACTAAAGAATACACTTTCTTCTCATCAGCTCATGGAACATTCTCCAGGATAGACTACATATTAGGTCACAAATCTAGTCTCAGCAAATTTTAAAAAATTGAAGTCATTCCATGTATCTTTTCAGACCATAATCGACTAAAACTGGAAATTAGAAATAAGTAAAAACTCTGGAATCTATACAAATACATGGAAACTAAACAATAGGCTCCTGAATGACCTATGGGCCCAGAAGAAATTAAACAGGAAAAAATTTGTTGAAACTAATGAAATTTTAAACAAAAAATGTGTTGAACTAATGAAAATAAAGATACATCATACCAAAACCTGTAGGATACTGCAAAAGCAATACTAAGAGGCAAATTTATTGCAGTAAACACTTACACCAAAAGAATGGAAAGATTTCAAATAAATGACCTAACGCTGTGCCTCAAAGAACTTGAAAAACAACAATCCAATCCTAAAGTAAAAGGAAAGAAAGAATTAAGATTAGAGCAGAACTAAATGAAATAGAGACCCCCCTAAAAAAAACAATAGAAAAGATCACCAAAACAAAAAGTTGGTTTTTTGAGAAGATAAATAAAATAGACAAACCATTAGCTAGATTAACAAATAAGAGAGAAGACCCAAATAACAAAAACCAGAAATGAAAAGGGAGACATTACAACTGATACCACGGAAATAAGAATCATTAGAGACTATCATAAACAACTGTAGGACCACAAATATGAAAACCTGGAAGATACGGTTAAGTTTCTAGACATACAAACTACCCAGACTGAATGAACCAAGAAGAGACAGAAAACCTGAACAGACCAATAACAAGCAACAAATTTGAAATGGTAATCAGCAGTCTT